AACTCTAAGATCCCGCCACAAAGAACATCTCTGCTCTCTTCTTGAAAATTGTCCAAAAGTGAGAATGAGAAAAGAAATGCCGGTAGGTACACCAGCAGACCCCAGCGTTGGTGAGGAAGGCCTAAGGGCTGCCGAGTGCGGGAGACGTGAGGACCCCAGGAGAGAGAACGTGCAACTGTGGGTTTTGGCACAACCACCAAATGGGAAGTTCTCTGCGTTGAGTGAGCGGCTTACAGACCTTGAGGAGGAAACTCCATCACCAGCTGTTTGAACAACCAGACGGGCGGCAGAGGTGAGTTTCAGGAGTTTCCCTATCTCTGGGTTGACAGCAAGCATTGCCAAAAGAGACACCTCATCTTTACAATCACTCTTCAGGGCTGAATAACATCTGTGGAAGACAAACCGCCCTGTTGCCACCAATATTTAGCTTCAAAAAGAGGAAAGCTGGGACACCTGGGTGGTTCAGTCAGTTAAGCGTCTGCCTTCGGCTCAGGTCATGATCCCAGAGTCCTGGGATCAAGTCCCGCATCAGGCTCCTTGCTCAGCGGGGAACCTGCTTCTCCCTCTACCTGCTGCTCCCCCTACTTGTGCTCTCTCTCTCTCTCTGGCAAATAAATAAATAAAATCTTTATTTAAAAAAAAGAAAGAAAAGAGGAAAGCTACACCAATCCTCATAACGGTTATAAAACCCTGTGCCGTGTCTCCTGTGAATCAGGGAAACTTTGGTGCCCCCCAAGCATTGCCCTGGATCCGTTCCCACAATATACAGCTGCAAGCAGTTCAGTCCAGAATACAAGGATCGAACCCTGGGGAAAAGCAAAAAGAAAACAAACAGATAAAAAAAGCCCCTGGATACGTGTGAAGGGAGAGCCCGGGGAGTGACAGCCAAGGAGTGGCCCTAAAGGGTCCCCAGTCAGGATGCAAGGGCAGAGGGCTCAAGGGGAATATGTCCTGAAGACAGGAAATTTGAATTGATGTTAACGGATGGTATACTTTAATGTATTGACACTTAATGTGATTAACAACAAAAACAAAACGTTTTCTCATTTGAGGCAGAGGATTTGGAGATAAGTTTGTGTCACATACATAGAAAACTAGACAAAAAGTAAGATGATTGTAAATTCTGAGCAAAGCAGAAAATTGTACAGGAAGTAAAATGCAGTCATAGTATATCACCTAGCCCATCTGTGACTAGAGAGTCGGAACAAGGCAAATGCTGAATATTTTTCAAACCCCAAATGGTGATTTTGACAGGATGTGGGGACAGGAAGCTAGGGAGGGAAGGTAAATGAACGAAATCTTTCATAGACAAATAGATGATATGTATACAAAACTGAAAACTGCACTGTTTGGAAACGGAGGTATATACCAAAAGAAATATCAAAGTGTTCACGTTTGGGGAGCAGGAAAGCGGGCAGGCAGGAAACTGCTGATTTTATACTAAAGCCTTGCAGAACTATTTGACCAACTAGCCATGTGCATATGCAACTCTGATTTTTTTAATTTATAAATATTCTTATTATAATATAATTATCTGGAAAGTAGTAGGCAACATGTCTGCTATTATGGAGTGCTTTTTTCCATATAAACTGGGTCTCTCTATAATCTGTGTTTTATAGTCCCATATTCTTGAATGTAAAAGGCCACACACTTGACAGTCCAAATAATAATAATAACAGTGCCATTCTGACCCTCTTGTATATTCTAAGTTTTGAGTTTTGGGGATCTGGCATTTGTGTTCTCCAAAGCAACTAGTGAAATTGCAGTGCTTGGCCCTGAAAAGTACCATGAGTGTAGTTTTCTGAGTGTAAAATAAACAGATAACATCCCTTTATAGCTGCAGACAAGCAGGTATGACTCAGCTTGGCAGAGCTGTCTTTCCAAATGCTATTTCTAGCAAAGGGGAATTGTATGAACACCCGGACTTCAGAGACTGTTGCTGCATCCCAAGAAAACAAATCCCGAACTGCTAAAAAGTCCGCTCTCTGGATATGTTATTTAATGAAATGATGTGCAACTCTGACAACATTTAAATCGACGCCTGTTTTCCTGGATGCGCTATCCACTTGCAAAGTTGCTTTTTCAAGCCAGGAGAAGGAAGGAGAGCTCTTCCCTGTCTCCCATATGCATGAAGATAATAAAACCTCTGCTTCTGCCTAGTTTCTGAAGAGTTTGGGAGTTTTGTGTTTCATTTAAATTAACATTTCTAATCCTGGAACTGCTGTCTAGCTAGGGGGCTGACCTTCCCTACTGTTTGGGCTCTGGGAACCCTCAGCCCACCCCCATGCCACCAGGCGGAATCAGTTCCCCTGGGGCCAACCAGCATATGCTCTGCCCTCCCAGCCGCAGGTGACACCAGCTCAGCGGCAGTGGCTTCTCCCCCATCCTTTCCCGTGACCTCTATTACCTTTTTTCTTTTTAATGTTAAGAGTTTATTTACAACACTCCTTTGTTGTACAGAAATATGTAAGCTCAGTGTAACCGGTAGCCATGGATAGTTACGACTTATTCATCAACCGTTGCTAAAGCCTGAGCACACTTTCAATTTGTTGGTACCAAATCCCCAAACTTGGTGGAAGGCAGAATGTCACAGGAAATACACTTTTCGGCTGTGTGCATCGGTATCCTGGGATCTGTACCACAGGCATGTTTTGGGTTTTGGGTTTTTTTTTTTAATAGCTACCAACTTCATAAGAGCAGCCCAATCAATCCTAAAGAAGGTCCTAGCACTTTCCCTTCCCAGACCCCAGGGGATATCCTCAGCCCACTTTTCAGTACCCCCAGCCTCAGGCTCTGCCCTAGACGATTCCTTTCTAGCTCCCCCACCCACCACGAATAGATGGGAGAGGAAATCTTTCTTCAGGCAGGCCTCAGTCTGTGGGACTGTACCCACAGGAGTCTGGTTGATCTTTGGGCTGGGATACACAGGCTTTATGGGCTAGCCCAGCACCTACCCACCACACCCGATGCTGGTCTTCCAAGGCGGTGAGTCAAAGGCAATCATCTGGAATACAGCACTTTGTAATATAATCTCAGGAACCTGTTCACACCCGAGACCCAAACCTGCTTCACTCAGTTCCCAGAACCTTGGCTTACAGTGTGGCTGTTTCCTCTGAAATCTTTCACATTTTATGAAAGATTCTATGAACCATGAGGAAATCTCTTACCTTGGTATTTCGATGGATTAAGTTTTGGACTTCAATATTGAGAGGGAAAGAGCCCGCTGACCTAGGAACCCCAAAGGTCAGTGCCAGAGTGCCTACTGGCAGAACCACATAGACAAGGGAGGTGACAGAGGTGTCTTCCTCCTTGGGGCTTGGTATTTTACTGTATTGGAGCGTTTCCCTTATCTCTATCGCCTCTAGAGGTTATGCAATCCTCCCGGAGACTACTGTGTAAGCTCTCGGTCTGTGAGTAGCACTGCAGATGCACCTGCAACTCCCCTTCGGGGCGTCTCCCTGCTCTCAGAACTGGGGGAGGAGGGATGTCCAGGAACTCTGGAGACTCGCGCCGGACCGAGCGTCCTTGGACCTGTCCGTGCAAAGGGCCCTTCACTGTCACCCCTGGCTGCCACTGCCTCTCTTCTATCATCCCGAAGCCCCCCTCCTTTCTGTGTGCTCTGGGCTTCCCCTTGCTCGCAGGTGGTGGCATCTGGCTTCGCGCCCTCTCCACCCACCCCATGGCCCCGGTCACCACGGCCTTAAGGCGTCCACGCTGGTCTTTCTGGGGAAGTCTCTGCAGAGTCTGGAGCCAGGAAGCGACCCTGCCTGGCCAGGAGAGGAGCGCGCGGGGCAGCGCCTGCCTCAATGGCCCCGTCCGCTAACAGTGATCAGGAGGGAGCCACTAGACCCCTCAGGGGTGGGGGGAAGCGAGGTTTTGAAGCCCTGAGCTAAGTTGCTGGAAGAACCTCCCTACCCACTTGCCGCCCACCCCGCAGGCCCCTCCGTGGAGGCACCAGAGCGCTCCAGCCTCCTTGTACCCCTGGGGGAGGCTGCCCAGCTAGGGGGGCACAGAGGTGGGGGGCACCGAGCAACAGCAGTATCTACCCAATCTGGGCATCCATGCCTGTTAGGACAACAGTGGTGGCTAAGGTGGGTGGCCCCAGGTGGGGCGCTTCCAGCAGATGGGTTCCTGTTTTGACTTGCCCAGATGTGCCCTGCCCCCCACCCAGGGAAGGAAGTGAGTGTGGGCACAGTGGGGAGGAGGTAGGAAATCGAGCCTCTGACTCTTCCCCTTTTGTCTTATTGATTAAATTCTCTTTTTTAAAACGTTTTACTTATTTGTCAGAGAGAGAGAGAGCACAAGCAGGGGGAGCTGCAGGCAGGGGGAGAAGCAGGCTCCCCACCAAGCCAGGAGCCTGATACGGGACTCGATCCCAGGACCCTAAGATCATGACCTGAGCCGAAGTCCCCTGCTTAACGGACTGAGCCCCCAGGCGCCCCTTATTGCTGAAATTCTTAAAGCAGATGCGTCAAAGGCAGAGTTTCCTAGCCCCTCCAGGAAGCTGGGATTCGGCGATAGATGGTGAAACGCACTGGTGTTGGGGTTCAGGGAAAACAAAAATGAGCAAGTATTTCCTTGGGCACAGGCCCAAGAAGTCGAAGGCGGGAAGGGCTCGGGAGCAGGCTGCCCGCAGAGCTGATTGACCCCGTGCCTCCTGCGGACTACGCACATAGTGCGGGCTCCAGGACAACACACGTGGTGGGGGCTCCGGGGCGGTTTAGTCCAACCCCGACTCCAAATGCTGCTCTCACGGGTGCCCTCCTGCCAATCTGCCTTGCAACCTTGGCATACAGAAGTTTCTTCTTTTCACCACTGCCTGCTTTCCTGCCCAGAAGCCTTAAGCCCTAAACACACTGAAGCCAGATGGCCGCCATGTCTTAGGGGAAATTGCAATTTCATTAATGCCAATGTATCCATTTTCTATGGACATTGGGGTTACTTCCATTTAGAGAACGATCACAAAAAGTGTTCTCTATGAAAACCAGCACAGCTCAACATCCAGACACAATAGCACTAACTTTTTTATTCACACACCTATTAGGTCTTACCTTACCACACAATCCATTTTCCAAAAACAAAGAATTCAGCCCATTATCCTGGCCTTTGGAATGGGTACCGAAAGAATTATCCAACTTGTATTCCGAATCACAGATGAAAATTATTCTAGGAATTTCTGGAACATGATAGATGTAAGGAGACAGCAAGAGAGCCAATGAAACATCCAAACTGTCCTAGGGCCAAGGGGAAGGTCGACAACTCAGGGAACACTCAAGTCTTTCTTTTATATGGAGACTTCACTGTCACTGCTAAGATCCCCCGCTGAAATGACACGCTTGAGTTCCCAGCTTAGGACTCTTCATACTACAGGACCAGCCCCAGCAGCCCTGTGGGCCCCTGTCTAAGACACTGGTTTAATGAAGCCATAATCCATGCACTTGATGAGACATTCCCGGGCTGTCTGCACCACTGCCCCCTTCTTCTCATCTGGCTCTTGTTTGCCCACAACAGTCAGGATCTCCAGCAGCTCACTCTCCACCAGCTTCTTGGCCAGCTCAGCGTCGGCTGCCAGCAGGTTATAGGCAATGACTAGGCCCCGGTGTTGGACTGACAGCCGGTCGTGCAGGCAAAGCCGCTGGAGGATCTCCAACCACTGAGTTGTCTGGAGGGCAGAGGTGGATAAAGAAGGATTAGAGAAATCAGTGGAGGGACAGCGATGGGACATTTGGGACAAGATAAATAGAAGGCAAGAACGTATCTGGTTATGTGCATGGGACTCAGCATATGCCTACCTGAGCCCATTGGGACTAGCTCACAGACACCCACCTCCTTACCAGAGCCAGGGTAGGAACCCAAAAACTAGAAGGAACTTGACATAATCCAATCCCTTTCATATTATAAGTGGAGGAACTGAGGTCTAGGAAGGGGAAGTAACTCAGCTATGATCATACACGCGAAAACAGTAGAGAATAAACACCCACCTGTCCATTTATTTTTTAAGCATCTGGAGAAGCAAAGGGACAGGCCCACTGCATGCCTGATTGGAATAGGGATGGAGGGTGTTCAGAAAGGAGGATTCTAACCCTGGGCACATGGGCAATGCCTGCTTCTGCCAACCCAAGTGCCCTTAGAGACATGAGCTCCAGGCACGCCTGGGGCTTGCGCTCCACCAGTCCTGACTGCAACTGGAATTAACACTGGAGTCTGGAGTACAGCCTCTCCTCCATCCCTCCTTCATCCCTCTTCTCCATTCCCAGCTGTGAAGCAGCCCAACTACTGTGAATGTGGAAGGCAGGACTCTAGACCATCTGATCACCCCAAGAGACAGAGTTGGAGCTAACAATAGAACCAGGAGGCTTGACTTTACAGCATTCAACAGACACACATGAGCGGCAGAGAAGAATAGTTATTGGTATGAGTTTTGGAGTCAGAGAGACCATTTCAGGTCCTAGGTTATAGTCACTTACCAAATATGACCTTAGATCAGTTTTTTAACCTCTCCAAGTCTCAGGAGCCCTTCCGTCATCTGGTATACCTACTTCTTCACATTGTGATGATTTAGTGATACGGTGCATGGACAGAGCTTAGCACGGGGGCTGGAGCATAGTAAGAGCTCAACAAAGAGAAGTGGACAGAGATGATGATTTTAGCCACTAATCCAAGGATTCCCCCTTTGCACGGGACCTGTTACCTCACCCTCCATTTGTCAACAGGGACAGCTTCCTACATGGACCCCTTTCAAATGGGGAGACAGGCACAGAGGGGAAGAAAAGACAAATTATTGGCTTTTTGGCTTCTAAGCAGATTTTCTCAAGTCTGCACCAAGCCTCCTACCACAAGAAAAGGAAATGAAAACCTATCTAGCTGTGGTAGCGTTCAGGGAAAGGTTTAATGTTGATGGGTAATATAACAGGTCCCGTGCCATTGCTCCCAGGCACAGACATGTAGCCAAGATTTCAGAGCCCCTCAGGAAGAAAAGAAAGAAGTGGCCAGGAGACGGTCAGCAATCCTGAAGGATTCCAATCCCTTCTCAACTACCTGGCGGTGTGGCCTTAAGCTAGTTACTTTTCTGCACTCAGTTTTCCTCTCTAGTCAGTAGGGATAATAATAACCATACCCTGGGGCGCCTGGGTGGCTCAGTCGTTAAGCGTCTGCCTTCGGCTCAGGTCATGATCCCAGGGTCCTGGGATCGAGCCCCGCATCGGGCTC